ATGAGGACCGTTTCTATTTTCTGCCATTTAAAAATCTTGAGGCACGGATTCCAAAAGGCTCTCTGTGTATTCCCTGTTCAGGGTGGTGCAACCGGAAGACAGAAATGCCATACTTGTCTGTCTACAGCAGAAACTTACCCCGGGCAGGGGTCTCGGCCCACGTTCCCGGCAACAGGGGGAAAGAAAATACGAGCCCCCGTGCATCTGGCCGAATACACAATGTTTCATTGCAAGGCGAAATTCCTTCCTCACCCCAGCTGGCGAACAGTTATGCCCCGGAGCCCAGGACGGTCATGCCTTGTAACTTTTTAACCTAGTTAGTGTAACTGCCAATATCATTCCTATTCGCATAAATGTCTAATCCTTTCTTGAATCTTGCTACACTATTTGCCTCAACAATGTCCTGGGGCAGTGAATTCCACAGGTAGATTATATGCTGCTTTAAAAAAAGCATTCCCTTTTATTTGTTTTAAATTTGTTACCTTTTAACGTCATGAGATGGCCCTTGTTTTTGCATTAAGTGGCGTAGGGTGCAGGCATTTCAAACTGAGCCTTAATTCTTCCAAGCACTTTCTTTGCTGTTATGAAAATGTGATCCTGGTATATTTTCCATTTGGCATATATAACCTTTGTTGAATAAGATGATTGGTATAAATACACAGTAGGTACTGGGGGGAAAAAAGCTCTCCTTGACAGTCAATGTCATTTCTTGGACAATTAGTTTATTGAGCACCTACTATGTGCAGGAAGTTTTCAAAGTATTGCACAGCCAGACCTGAAAAAGACAGGGTCCTTGTTCTGAAGCCCCTGACTTCCTAGGGAGAAGACAGCAGGAAAACAGTGAATGAAGATTTCTACTGCGTGGTGCCAGGTATCTCAGGGAATGTTGGAGAATTAGACAGGTGTGGCAGGGGCCACTGGCTTCCGGAAAAGGGGGCAGTGACGCCTGGTTCTTAGAGTGTCTATTAACATCTCTATGGAAGTGAACTGCAGTTTTCAGCGCTTGGCACTAGTCAAGACTCCATCATCGGATGAGTCAAGGTGGAGAACAAAAATCTTAGTTACGGAAATCACACAGGGAGTTACCCAAAGGCCCAGGAATACCATTTCTTCAATCTTGTAGCTCTGAAGACTGTTTGGCATTGGAAAAAAAACACCACCACAAAAACCCAGCGGATTTAATTCATTGGACTTGGTTTCAAGACCGGCCCATGTCTCCAGCTGTCTAACCTTGGGCTAGTCAGTTAATCCCTCATCCAAAGCGTGCTCCTTCACAGAAATGGGAATCAAGCTTCCTTCCTCCAGAGAGTGTGCAGGATCGGAGGCAAAGTTATGTGGCAGTTCTTTATAAACTGCCAAACGGTGTAGAAATGGTAATTTTTATGGGAACCAGTTGTCAGAATTCACCACTCGTTCTTTCGTTGTTCACTCTTTCTCCTTCCTTCCGCACCCCCCGCCCCCCATTCCTATTTTATTCCCAGCCTCCATCTCAAACTCATCCATGGTATGGAGATTTTTTTTCCTCTAGAGGTGGATGTACCGGAATGCAATTTTTGTATATTTCTTAAGGACTTGAAAAGCGGGAGCAGAAGGATCCACTGGCTGTTAAAATAGTACAGTAAAGGTCTATTTCCGATGTGACTGCTTGCTTTTCTCTTGTTTACTGCTTCATCTTCTGAGATCAGGTTAACCAAACTTCTTTCTGTAGAGACAGAGGCCTTGCCAGTGTTTCTGAAGGGATTGTCCCTCCGAAATAGACTCTGGTCGAAACGTTCGGATCACCTGCGTGATAGGCAAATACTATTTCCTCACATTTCATCTGGTTATTTTTATTTTGGGGGTAATTGCCTCTTCCGTTACTTTGCTTTTCTTTCTCTTCCTGAGCAGGCAATTTGGAGACAAAATATGCCCAGCTCTGCATTGAGATGTCTTAGCAAGGCATTTCAAGGAATACATTATTAGAATTGTTTACGTGCATGGTTCAGATTTACTGGCCGATGGCTCAGGCCTCAGTTTTATGATGTAGCTGCCAGCCAGGCTCCTTCTGGGTAAAAGTGAAATGGGAGAAGTTTCTCTCTGGTATCCCTCGCCGACACTTCCTGGGTCTCGTTCCTCTCCTTTCAACACCCTCCCCTTTCCTGCCCCCGTGGAACTTCCAGAAGCTGTCAGACCTTTTGCTCGTCAATTCGAAGGCATTTCATGGATCTCCCCCTCCTCAGATCAGCCCCCCATGAAAATGAGATGTGCAAAAAAAATAACTCTTCAATGGTATAATTTTAGATCCTGTGGCAACTGGGAAGGGCGGCTATTTTGGGCTGTGGGGCTCTCTCCTTGACCTGAGATGATACCGCTCTTCCTGCCACGGGTGCGCTCAGCCAGCCCTGTACGCGGTCCTCTCCGCGACGTGTTTGCCATTCCTGGGGCTGCATCTCTGTCGCTCTGCCGAGCAGTTCTGCACAACTGCAAACGTGAGCGCATTTGTCCAGGATGTGGATCTGTCTGCATGTACCCACCAAGGCTTGTCCAAGGTGGCGTACCCGGGTGGTGGCCCAGGCTGCTCCCGAGAGACAGTGCAGGTGGAACACACTCTCTCTCATATAGTGGGAGGGGACATTTTCTGGTCTAGTTTGTGCCTGTCCCTCTGACACAAGCTTTACCAGCTGCTCTGTGTGTTACTCACTCTCTGAGCAAAAGGTGAGCCAGGCGGGTCCCCAGGCCACTGCATCTGAACATCCCTCACATTAGGGCTCACCGGCAGCTGCATCTTCCCAGCGATTCCGACCTCCCCTGCTTGCCGTCTTCCCGTTGAAGCTCCCAACGTAGCCACTGCCTGCAGACCTCATGCACTGCCTGGGCAGCCAGCCAGGCCAGGGCGGATGGGCGGGGCAGCTTCCAGAAGATTCAAAGGTGGCCTACAGCACAGTGCTTTTAGGTGACGGTGAAATCAGAGCCCAGATCATTACCGGGCCAAGTAACTTGTTCCTAGTTTTTACAGCCTTGAAAAGTACACCTAGGCCTCAAAGATCATTCAGCCAGAAGGGATAAATTCAGTAACACACAGGAAAACAGAAAGTTCTTTTTTTTTTTTTTTACAAAAAATGATGAGTTGTATTACTTTGAAAGAGAGAAAACAGAGGCCCTTCATAGATAGAATCTTGGCCCTCTGGATGGGTGCTCTGGCCATTAAAAGAAAGAAGGGAGGGAGGGAGGAAGAGAGAGAGAAATGAAAGGGGAGGGAGGATTAGGATATAAGGAGAACCTGAGTACGGAACAGAAGTTACTGGAAGGTAAGAGGAAAACAACGATCAGGAGACAATGTCGCCTTCCCTGACCTGCTGCTGAAGTAGATCTCGAACAGATGTTTATAGAAAACCAACGGCGTCTGTTCCGGGTATGCATTTCCGTGTGGCGGACGACCCTAAACCGTGCTCACTCAAAACCCTGGCGCTCATTCTCCTGCTCTCTGTCATGGTTCTGAGTGTTGACTGCGCACAGCTGTCGAAGCTCAGGCAGCCTTTCACAAGGTCAGGGTCTGGTGGCGGCCGAGGCTGCAGGCCCTCTGAGGCTGCCTCACTCACGTGGGTGATGGCTGATTTTGCACCCTCAGCTGGAACACCTGGTCGGTTCGTGTGGCCTCAGCTGCCTCACAGCATCGCACCTTGGTGCACTTTTCCTGACCACTCAGGGCTCCGAAGATGAGGGTCCCCAGAGAAAAGGACAAAAGTGAAACCATCCTGTGTGGCCAAGACAAGGCACAGACTGGTCCACCAGTCACCAAGGTCAGCTCTGATTCAAGGGGCCAGCTCATAGACCTGGCCTCTGGATTTGGGGACTTTTAAAGGACATGTGGGCGTGTCTTTTAAAAAAAGATTTTTATTTACTTATCTTTAGAGGGGAAGGGAAGGAGAGAGGGAGAGAAATATCAATGTTTGGCTGCCTCTCGTGTGTCCCCTGCTGGGGACTGGCCTGCAACCCAGGTATGTGCCCTGAATAGGAATCGAACTGAGGTTGTTTGGTTTGCAGATCCGCTCTCAATCCACTGAGCTACGCCAGCCAGGGCTGGACGTGTCTTAAAGCTGCTTAAAATATGTCCAATCACAGTGTCACCTGTCCCCAACTTCCCAGTGTCCAAGAGCTTCCTGTCTACTGGGAGCTATATGCTGTATTGTATTGTACATTACACAGTAGGTGCAAAAACATGGCCACCCACATTTTTGTGTGCCTTATACATGGGATTATTATCCCCCTTTATTATACCCATGGGATATCATCACCACACCCATGTATAATATGCACCCTTATTTTTCCCTAAAAATTTTTGAGCAAAAAAGTGCGCATTATACACACAAAATATGGTACGCCAAGTATGTAATGCAATACGTAAAGGAATGAAACGGCTTGTTTTTCCGGAAAGCCAGGTGATAGGGGACGTGGACCAATAGGGCACAGGATAAAAGAGGTGCGTAAATAGAGGCCAAAGGCAGCCGGTAGTTAGGAAGGCCTGAGGCCGCTTGTCATTGGCGCTTGTCATTTGGAGAAACTGAGGGCCCATAAGAAGACAGTGGCTACCACTCCTTAAGTCTGGAGTGGGTGTCCTAGGAAGCTGTATTCAAGCCCCAATTTTTGTCCTCGATGTCTCTGGCCACCTGTCTTCACTTCCCCTGCCCCACCTTGGTCCCACCAACCATCCCTTCTTTCCACTGCATTATTCCTCTGTGGTCCTAAAACTGCCCCCATCTCTTTACCTGTCTTGACCATCCCTTGGCCCTTTCCGTGCATGGGGAAGACTGACCTCCTCCTCTCCTTCCTTATTCATTTGCTACTCCATTGCCGTTTCTCAGACCAATGTCCTCTCCCTGCCCTGCCGATTCCTCACTGACTGCTCAACATACCTGTTTGCATTTCACTTGTTCTTTATAGGCCGTTGTCCCTTGCCTTCTAAAATTGTGTCCTATAGTCTATGGGCTCATGGCTTTCTTTTCTCCTGTGTCTTGTCTTAGGTGCCCTTTGTCCGGCATGGTGCCACAGGCGAAGGACCCCGGGGTACCAAACACCCAGCATCTCCAGCAGATCTAGCCTGGACATCTTCAAGGCGGTGCCGGGGTCCACACCCGAGGACTTTTTGGTGGGGTTTGCTGTGCAGCTGCTAACCTTTCTTTGGTAAGACTCCCCTACAACCCTTCATTAGTAAGTATAATTTTTCTCTTCATCCGGCCTTTAGTCTCTAAATATCACCGATTCCTAGACACTCACTTTGTAATCCTCAGGTAAGTTGGGCCTCTTTTCTCCCCTTAACAAAAGTGACGTATGGCTCTGGCCAGAGTGGCTCTGTTGGTTGGAGTATCATCCCTTACACTGAAAGGTCATGGGTTCGATTCCAGGTCAGGGCACATGTGTAGGTTGCGTGTTTGGAGCACGTACATGGGCAACCGATTGATGTTTCTCTCACATCCATGATTCTCTCTCTTTCTCTCTCTCTCTCTCCCTTCCTCTCTCTATAAAACCAATGAACATACATTTTTAAAAAGTTACATGAGTGCACTGTAGAAAATTTAGAACACATGGAGGAGTGAAAATAAGGAAACAAATGTTGCAGATATTTAAACATGTTAATAGCTTGGTATGGGTCCTCCCCATCTTTTCTTTCCACATTTATGAGTTCTTATTTACAAAAAATGGAATTCCTACCTAAAAGGGCAGTGATCTGCTCCAAGCAGTTTGCTATTTTCTAGAGTCAGCTGCTACAGAACTTACAGCTCCCTGGGGTGGATGTCCAGCCCCAGCTGAGCCAACACTTGGTTGCTTTTTTAGAATTAAATCGGGTGAAATGGGGATGGGGGTGACATTGAGATGGGATTAGAATTTTCATTTCAGAACCTACAGTTTTGCTGGGAAAGGTCGTTTGCAGAACCTGAGTAGAGAGACAGAGGGAGCCCTCAGGTGCTCCTGTACCTGGTGCTGATTCCTGCAGTGGTGTTTGTAGGATGGCCTTTAAAAAAAACTTTATTTTAGACGAGAAGGGAGGGAGAAAGAGAGGGAGAGGAGCATCAACATGTGGTTGCCTCTCATGTGCACCCCACACTGGGGACCTGGCCTGCAACCCACGCCTGTGCCCTTACTGGGAACTGAATCACGATCCTTTGGTTTGCAGGCTGGCACTCAATCTACTGAGCCACACCAGCCAGGGCTGTAGGCTGGCCTTATATCTCCCCTGAAATCTTTCTTTATCTTGGGGGACGCTGATATTTTCATCTAACAGTGTCTGAGCAAGAGCACACTTTTGGGAACCTGCTTTATTTCACTTCATACACTTTTTTCTACAGCATCATATATTCTAGATTCTAACCTCGGCAGCTGTGCAGTGTTTATGGGAGAGCGGAAGGTCTGGCTTTAGCTGTGGGTTTAAACAGCGCCCAGTTCAAATGCTGCCCTGACCCCTTGTTAGCTATGGGACTTGGGCAAATTATTTCAACACTGTATGTCTCATTTGTAGATAGACGAAATAATATGCTTAAGTGATACCACGAACCTAATGTTCCCAGCACAAAATCTGCCATGTAAGAAAGTAAGGGGTCAGTAGATTTTGCCTTTTGTTGGTCATATCATAATCACAAGCCTTCTGCTAGTGCTCATTTAATAGCCCTTATATTTCTCAACATTATAAACACAGGTGCAATACACACCTATACCACCAAATCTTTATGCATGATTGTTTCTTGCACTATGGGCCTGGAATTTGCATTCTTGGATCAAAGACTAGGGACACTCAAAAAGTTCTGAAGAAAAATGTGTTCTCATTACTTTCACTGCATCTTCTAGGCCATCCACATCCCAGCCTTCACCCCTTCCTTCTTGTCTCCAGGTCCCTAGACAGCAAGGCTCTTTCTGTGCCCATAACTTGCTCTGTGCACTTCCCAACGACATTAACAGCTACTGCACCTGACATTGAAACCGGGGTCCTTTCAGCCAGATTGAAACGCATCCATTCAGCTATTCACTCCCATGTTGGGTGCAGATTAAGTTGCAAACTAGACATACACAACGGTTTATGTTGTCGGAGCTGACTCCAGTGTTGCTAGTCACGGAGTGGACTTCGGAGCTTGGTAGAAAGCAGTCCAGAGAGTTCTCAGGAAGCCAGATATTGACCAAGGTGGACAATATCTATAGAAATCTCTCCTGTCTAGAAGTAGGGACATTTGGAATAGGAACATTGTCCGTGGTGAAGCAAGAGAGCAGCGGGCCTGTCCCAGGGCATTGCTGGTGTGTGGCTGAGGTGGGGGACACAGACAGGCATCCTTCATGGGACCTGCCAGCCATGGGCATTCCTTCTGAATTCTCAGAGAACCTCGTGTCCCTTCTCCAGGGCTAGCTCTTGCCATGTCCCCATAACAGCTACGCACATTGCCTCCTGTATATTTTAAGCTCCTGAAGGACAGGCAGAATCACATTTTATGTGCCTTTAATATACATTCTTTTGCACTTCCGAGCACAGCACTTTTGTAAATGAATGAATCGCCAAGTTATCTTTTCCAGATCATTTCTCCTTATGTATGCATTCTAGAACTTGGAGGCAAAGTCAAGCATTTTTCTTGTTCCAGTACGAAAATGATTTCTTTGCGCAGTCTGCTTTCAACTCTTTGAAAATTCGAAGGAAAAGTAAGACCCAGGAAGTTGTTTAACAGAGGCGACCCCCTTAAGAGTCAATGTCACATTTATTGCTATAAAATATTTTTCTCTCTCTGTTAGACATCTGGTTCCCATTACATGCGTACTGGGTACTTGAGTTCACCAGCCATTCTGCATACCAAGCAGCGTGCATGCGAACTGCAGCCCCCCCACCCCGCCCCCACAGCCCCCAGGATGTACTTTTACCATGTGATCTTTACACTCTACTTACATACTGGCCTTCCTTCACCACTGAGGACTTACCAAGGCACATCCGAGGTTGTTTGGTTCCAACTTGTCTTAAAGACCAAATTGCCTGTGTCTGAGACGCGAAGGACTTCAAACACGGGGAGGCTTTGCTTTCTATCGTTGGAAGGTCTGATTGACTATATACTCTAGCACCGAGGCCAGTGAAACATCTCCATTCAAAGTCCTGATTTCCTAGTAACACTGACCCAGAAATGAGAAACACAATACGGAATGTTCGCTAATGAGTCATGAATTTCATTATAATTGCTTCCATATTCGGGAGAGCTTCCTTAAACCATCTAATCTTGACATATCCTGCAACAATCCCATGTGTTGTAAATGATTTTGTTTTATTTCTTAGGTTACTGTTAAAGGCTTATTTTATGGTTCATTTCGTTTTCTTAAAGAAAACCACACACGTGTGCGTGGGTAGGCGTGCATCACATACACACTGCCCCTTTCCTTAGCCTCATCAGAGCTTTGGGCTCAGTCTGTATTTTTTTTTGGAAATAAAATGATTAAGAAACCAAAGGAGCCCTCCTCATTCCGTTTGGAAATAACAATAAACCCATTTAGGGAGAAAGGCGAGCTGTGGTCCACTTTAGAGTTCTAGTTCAGGTCTCTGAGAATGAAAACCAGAAGTGACCTACATCTCAGCAGGCAGCGGTTCATCACCTCCCTCTCTGGATTTGAGAACCTGCAACTGAATGGATGGACATGACCAGCATTCAGTACAGCAATCGTGGAAAATTAACTGTGACTTTCAAAAACTGCCTACATTATAAAGTGATCTATTAGCATGATACGACTCGAGCACTTAAAGTGACTGATTCTAATTGGACGACTTGGCCCATGGCAAGCGTTAAAGAGCTGCCAAATCTTGCGGGTATTTTATCTCTTTGGGGACATTTTAAAGTGAATTCTCTTTGGAGGAGAGCTTTGTTCATCCACACAAAAGGTTGTGTGGAAGGCATCTCTCAGTTCTGGTAGAACAAGAGGTAATTATAGTTTCCTCTTCTTTGATTCATGAATCAATAAGCCAAATATTAACTTAAAAATTCTTGCATTTTTCTCTCCCTTGCCTTTATGAAGTGAACTCAGTCTTTATAGCTTGTGGTTTATCCAGCAGAAGTAAAGATGGATGCCCTTCTCTAATGAGCTTGCCTAGCAACCAGAGAGGCATTCCTCCCCTACACCTGGTTATCACACTGCATCCTTCACATCTCTTTTGGACCAGCCTGTGGGTCTCTGGGATGATGACATGGTACCATCCCCTGAGCGAAACTTAATTTAAGCAGCTTCACATTAAAACAAAGCTGCAGGGACTTCTGAGTAGGTGTACTTCTGAGATGTACCTACTCAAGGGCATGCAGTGTACAGGAAAAAGAAGGTAGACCATGGGGATTGTCATTCATATTTTGAATTAGACTTCATGTCTGTATTCTCTGCAGGCTCATTCGTAATTTTCATCATCTGGATTATGGGAAGCTTATTAATGGAATTGTTATTGGAATGTGCAAGTTTTCTTATGCTGAAGGAGTCCTTGTTGAACTTCCCTGTTTAAGCCACACTAAGATTTTAGCTTAAACTAGTTGCCTGTGGATTTCTTGTTGGCAGTTCTCAGATCACCCAGTAGTAGAAAAATTGCCTGCTATGCTTCAGATTGTTGAGGTTGTGACCCGCAGTGTTATCTATTGTAATGACAGAGGGGGGTGTTTGAACATGTAGCATAAAAGCCCCACATAAACCTGTTGGAGCATAACACCAACCTTATTTATTGAAAACATCTCTTTCTAAAACTGACTTCAAAAAAAAAAAAAGAAGAAGAAGACAGCCCTGGTTGGTGTGCCTCAGTAGATTGAGCACCAGCCTGCAAACCGGGGGTTGCTGGTACGATTCCCAGTCAGGGAACATGCCTGGGTTGTGGGCCTGGTCCTCGGTGGAGGAGGTGATGGAGGCAACCACATGTTGATGTTTTTCTCCCTCTTTTTCTTCCTCCCTTCCCCTCTCTCTAAAAATAAATAAATAGAAATTTAAAAAATAGAAAAGAAGACAATGTTAAATAGAAAGAAGTTTAAAGGCATTATGGCTTCTTTCGAGTTTTACGTCAATAGTTCCTGTCACTTGTAACCGCTCTCTGCTTCCAAAACTTGGGTTCAGCAGAAAAGAGCAGAAATACTTGTTATTGACCTGAATTAGGATAAAGGGGGAAGAGATGTTAAGATCACAGCCCCCTGGGTACTTTGCTTCTGGAAACATCATTTCCAGGCTATGCTCGAATCAGGCAAATACTGCCCTCCTCTCCCGGGGTGTCTTTGGTGCCAACCCAACTGGACCAGAAGACCAGTGCCCAGAACTAGGGCATTACGTTGTCTGTAACTGTGGGCTAATGATGCCACCATTTAACCATGACCATTTTTCTCTTTAGAAAAGTACTATGAAATGTTCTAGAAATGTATATGAACATAACAATGACAGCTATAAAAATAAAAAATACATAAAGATGTACGAAATGTTATAATATTGGAAGATGCACAGACACTTGTGAAAATCATTCAGAGAGGTCCCTCATTCGTGTCACTCAGTTTTTCCCCAAATTAACATCTCACATAACCACAGCACCTTGTCAACATTAGGAAATTGGTTGAATACCTTTCATAGACCTTATTCAGACTTGACACGGTTACATGGATTCTCTTTTGGGGTGGGTATGGACATGCAGGGATGCATTAACCCCCTTTTTTAAGAGATCAACTCTCAGCAATGACTACTAATGGTGTGTAAGATTCTTAGGTCCTGTGGTTTTATACATCCTGTGGCTGACTAAAAAGGAGGGAGAGTTGCATGCATTAATAAAGGTGCTCTCTATTAATTGCTTTATCCAAACATTAACTAAAGAAATCAATCAGTCCTATATCAGGTGCCAAGTGAAGATACAAAGACAGTGGCATTGTGCTCTCAAAGAACTCACAGAAAGAGAAAAAATCAGCACTCACAACCCAGCGTGTTGTATGCCATGGTACATATGACACAAACCAACGTTTCTAAGCCCCTATAAGTGCCAGGCATTGTACCAGACATTAGCAACAAAGCAGTAAGTAAGATAAGTCAATAAGCCTCTCCTAATCTGTGGCTCTTACTGCTGAGTGGAGACAAGGCCACTAACAAGGAATGTGCACAGGGTGCTCTCACAGGGGTGCAGGGTCAGAGGGGGTAGGTCCTGTCCAGATCAAGGGGTGTAGGGAAGAGACTCAAGAACATGTCATATAGCATTGGTCAGCATTTCAAGATGTTGACTTATGGGATCTGTGGACCAGCTCCTGCTCCATTTCATGCAGAGTCCACAGACCATCTTCTAGCTCTGCTGTAGAACATTAGCAGACAGTTCGCTACCCCAAGAGCAGTCATTGTTCCTTAGAGCTGACTCAGAAGCTCTTTGATACCATATCTGATGTGACAGATCTTTCTCACTCACCATTGGCAGGCCTGGTGCTGGCTCATGTAGGACATGGGTTACAGAGGGCTCTGTTTTCTACAAGTAAAGGGGAATTGGTTTCCTAGGGCCAGTGCTAGACAAATAAAACATTGTGTGTTTCTTTATGAACAAACTGAGTTTCCTTACTCAAACTGGTGACATCAACATCACCATCTAGCTCACTAAAAATATGATCATGGACCTCTCCTGCCTGGTTGCTCTGCGCTGGAGTTCAGGTGGCATCTAACATTCTTCTTGTGGTCTACAAGGTCCTACATGCTTGGGACATATCTACGTATGTCCTCGGCCTCATGACATTCCATCTTACTTTTAGTTCTAGTGGTTCAGTCACACATGCCTATTTGCTGGCTGTGTTCCACTCCAGAGCAGAGTACATTCTGCTTCCGGAAATGCTTTCTTCCCTCCTCTATATCTTTATTAATAATCTCATTTTTTTAAAGAGTCTATTTATTTTTAGAGTTAGGGGAAGGGGAGGGAGAAAGAGAGGAGAGAAACATTGATGTGTGAGAGACATATCAATCTGTTGCCTCTTACATGCCCCCAACTTGGGACCTGGCCCACAACCCAGGCATGTGCCCTGACCAGGAATTGAACTGGCGACCCCCTGGTTCACAGGCCAGCACTCAATTTATGGAGCCATACCAGTCAGGGCCGTAATCTCATTCTTTAGAATGATTATAATCTCATTGCAAGGCTTTCCAATTGAAGCACTTGTTTATATCAAGTTCCCACTATGAGTCTCATTGTACGCTTACTGATACTTCCTGCATGCATTACAGGAAGTAATACATTTTATATTCAATGGTGTGTGACTATATATTTATGTCCCTTCATTAAACAGTGGGTTCCGTGAGGGCAGCCATGTTGGGATCACTTCAAGGCTCCATAAATATCTATTGAATACATTATTCAATGATGGACAGATGACTGAAATAATGACCCATCTCCTCATTTCCTTTATAAGTTTAGGTAAATGCCACACCTGGGATTTGGACACATGGGTACACTGTTTTGTGATCATTTGTTTTGGGCTCCTTTCTGGGCTGTATTTTTTTTTCCCAAGTTCAAGCAGGGATAGTTTTTCATAGGAAATCATGGCTGGCATGACTTTTGTCTCCAATTTTTTCTACACCAGTGGCTTCTGCGTTGCATGTTTTATCTGGAGTAGTTGTCATTTCAAGGCCACTGCAACAAGGGGCAAACCATGGTCAGCTGCCCCTTGTCAAAGTGGTGGCTCTTCCTTTGCAAAGAATAGTCTGGAGCTTCTTCATTAACCTCAGGACTCTAAGCATGGCTCTTGGATGTGCTGGGGGCTTTGGAAGAGGGAGGCGCTTCAGCAGACAGGTGCAGTACTCCCTGGAAAGAGGGTGTGTCTGCTGGATTCTGCATCCAAATCCTCTCTTCCCTGGCTTCAAGTTGGGAAAGGCCTTTACTGGGATGAAGTAGGCTCATTGGTGGAGATCAAACCAAAAAGGTGTTTGGAACGGGGATAGAGATAGAAGTCAGGAGCCATATCCAAGAAGTGCCCTTTGAGCTGATTCTAGGTTGCTGGGCAGGGTTGAGTTCATGCAATGGGAGATTGTGATATAGGTAACATTCATAGGTGAGAGCAGAGGGACCAGCACGCATGAAGGTCTGGGAGAGACTTGTGCTAAAAAGACTCAGCTCAATCTCTGGAAAACTTGGGTACAGACCCATGTCTCTCTCTCTCTCTTTTTTAAAGATTTTATGTATTTATTTTTAGACAGAAAAAAAGGGAGGGAGAAAGAGAGGGAGAGAAACATCCATGTGTGGTTGCTTCTTACGTGGCACCTACTGGGGACCTGGCCTGCAACCCAGGCATGTGCCCTGACTGGGAAACGAACCAGCAACACTTTGCTTCACAGGCCCGTGCTCAATCCACTGAGCCACAGCAGCCAGGGCAGACCCATGTCTCTTGAAAAGACTGGTCCTCAACCTGTCCCTCAGATCTGAATGATCTGGATAACTTCTTCTACACTGTGGCTACCTACCCAGTCTGGACACATGTTTGTAATCAAATATGGATGGTTTATTTTACATGGAGGTCGGTAGGCGACATCGCGGTGTGAATTCCATCTCTTTCTTTGTAGGTTTCATCAAGGTGTGTGTGCGTGAGTGTGTGTGTTCCTTTTTATACTCACATGTCAATCTTGCCCAGATCCCAGGACTTGTTTATGGAAAGAGCTGTGAAATTTTGCAGAGCGGCTGCTTATGGTGAATATGGAGGCAGTGATGAGGCGGCTTTGCCTGCCAGAAGGAGGTCAGATTTTGGAGTTAAGGGACCGGGCCTCCATTCCAACCCGCTCTTTAACTTCAGAATGATAATAAATAAAATTATTTGCCTCATTTACCTTGTAGGATTACTTATATGATGTCATTTATATGAAAGAACTTCCCAAGTTATGAAGCGCTCTGTAAACATGAGACATTAATTATTGCTATAGAATAAATGTACTCTTAAAAAAGTGACAACTAAGTCCTATAAATGTAGGGGAGGCTTCCCTAGGCTCAGTGTGACTTGGAAGTTGGCAATAGCGTATTTCAAATATGGCTGCAATGTGGCAACCAGACATTCAAACATTTCTAATTAAGCTGCAAATTTATAATTTTCACAGCAGGTCGATGCTGTAAAAATTAAAGAGGAGGTCAGCCCCCAAATTAAGACTGGTAAGAATTTTTGATTTTTAGCAAGAAAGGCTTTAACTGGATTTTCTTAAACTAGTTCTGGGTAGCTCATTTGCTATTATTTTTAGAAATTTTATAACATTCGGATCTTTTTCCAGGATATAGTAATCAACTTTTCCCAATGGTTTTATTGAACCAGGAAGTGACTAGAGGGACTGGGAAGAAATGCGAACACATTTTACAGGTAACAAAAGATGCTCTCTTTTCAATATAATTTAAAAAATGCAACAAATTTTAAAATGCACATCCAGTTCAGTATTAAAAAAATAGTGAGAACCTTTGCCATAGAAATGATTGTCTAGAAACTCAAATGAGGTTCATGGTAAGGAGGAGAAGGCCGGGCTGATTCAGATGACACACACCCCGGAAGTGTTTAGGGGGGGCGGCACAAACTGGGTTATTGATGAGGGGCAGGAAATCCGAACAGTAATTAACATTTTGGTAGGTAACCCATTGTGAGCCATTGCAGACCATGAGAGATTTTTTTGTTGTTGTTTTCTTTTCTATTTCTATTGTTCCAATCGGGACACTTTTTTTGTCCATTTTGTCTTGAGACCCCCATGGCTAAAAAGAAAACAGAGGTTGACATATCACAGAAGAACATCAACCACTCTGGAAATGCCTCAGGTACAGGTGACTGGACTCTTTGGCCGACTGACTGGTCACAGTCTCCGTCAGCTGGTGCGTGGAAGAAGCTAAAGAATGTGTTCTTGTCAAGTTATGAGATCAAAGTTTTGGATCTTGAAAAGTTAAGACTTTTGGTGGCGGGGGAGGGTGCTGCAATCCACTTAAAAATGGCTGTGAAATCCGCTGATTTCAACCTCCCATTACTGGAGATTGCAACTGGTGCTCCAACAGCTGCCAGGACAGGTGAAGGACGCATTATGGCCAGCTGGAGTACCCCTGGGCGCCAAGTCCCCACAAAATGCTGATCCCAAGTGCTGCTGCCATTTGTCCTTTGTCACCTCGGCCACCCCAGGTCAGCCCAGCAGCTAGATGGCTCCGAATGTCAGAATCCCGCTCTCCCTACTTGCCCTGGAAATTCGTGTTTCTCCTCTATAATGGACAGCCCTTCATGTGGAGGTTAGCCCACAGTGACAGGCTAATCAAGCCTCAGAAGGCACGTACTGCATCTTTGAGAAATAGTTTACGTGTGAATCAGTAAATGTAGCAGACAAAGCAGCCATTACTTATGCATTCCTGCATACCCGGCAAGGTGAAAATGATAGAATAAACATCATATACTTCACTATGATATCGGTTTACACTTCCAGGGTACACACACACAAAAAGGCCATTTCATCAAGCTAATTGCCTGAAAGTAAAAGAGAGAGAACTTTAGCTATTAGTCTATTATGGGGCTTTTTTCTTAATCACGAATGGGGCCGTGTGTCCCTGGGGGTGGGGGGTGTATTCTAATTTACAATTGAACCACAGATCAGAGCATCAATCTTGGGTACCACTTTCACAGTGTAATTGCTGCAACATAACAAATAAAGAAAAAAAGAAGAAGAAGAAGAAGCTTTAAGCTGAGCTTCAGTTTGAGCCCGAGATATTTCCAGGCTCAAGTTCAGGGTGGGAGGGAGAGGAGAAACAGACATGAATATGCAATTCGGGCTCATTAGCGGCCTAGTGTTGCCTTGACGAATGGTATTCTCCCCGGCCTGGTGCTGCCTGAACATGAATTTCATAACGACCCATTTATCATGACTTGTCACGGGCTTCTGTACTGTACTTCCTTCCAGCTCACACACCTTTCCCCATTACGATGGGGGGGGGATCTTCCCTTTTATTATTATGGTTTGCTTTCGTATTGAGTTCTGGACCCTCAAAGCAAGTGTTCGAATACGGTGACATGCTAATGAGCCATTTCTGACTCCGAAGACTTGAAGAACTCAACCTTGATTCTTCATCCCTTCTTCTCTACAGTGATATAATTGAAAGAAGAAAAAAAAAAACACAAAAACCCAGTCAGAGTAAACTTTGAAAAACAGTTCTTAATGTGTGAGATTTGCTTACTGTAGCATTCTGACACTGCCGCATTTTTAAAAAGTTAACCCTGGCTGTCTTCCTTTCATTAGTTTTAGTTCTTGTTTTTGTACTTCGAGAACCTTTCCGTAGCTTAAAAAGAGGACTCAGAAGTCCTGAGGTCTTTTCCCCCAGACATCTTGCAGCCACGACCAAAAAAAAAAAGTATAGTGTGGATGATTTTTAAAAAGATTTTATTTATTTTTCTTTAGAGGGGAAGGGAAGGAGAAAGGGAGAGAAATATCAATGTGTGGTTGCTTTTTGTGGGTCCCCTGCTGGGAACTGGCCTGCAACCCAGGCACATGCAGTGACTGAGAATTGAACCGCGGTACTTGGGTTTGCAGGCCCGAGCTCAATCCACTGAGCCACACCAGCCAGGGCTAACATGGATGATTTCTAATGTTAGAATTTTATAAGTACGTGGATTCGCTTCTCATTGGGAACTCTTTCACATCGGGAGGAAGAAGGTTGGCCTGGTCTTTGGTGACAACTTCTCTGGATGCGCATTTAGCTCATAGCAAAAGACCGCGTGAAAGCAACCTCCCGGGGAAGGAACCACGAGGTCTGTCTGAGTATTTACGAGGCACAGAAGGGCTGCATGCGGAGGCCGGGAGAGCCTGTGACGCCCTCCCAGTTGGTTGATAATGCACGTCTAACTTGGCAAAGAGGCCCTGTCGTAATACAGACACAATCCATGGGCTCTATGATTTCTCCATTTATTTACCCTAAAGAGAGCATGTCCAAAACGATCTCTGCATCCAGCGAGGGCACAGAAGCGCACGGGGCGTAGGAATACAAGGGAGCAGAACGTGGTCTTGTTTTCGCAAACAACAATTATAGTCATTCCCGGATATGACTCACATCTTTCTGAGCGTGACCATCTCTCCTGTGCAGTGGGGTCCATATTAGCACCTAGGATGCCTTCACACAAGAATATTTTTATATTACTTATGCATACAGGGAATGCTGAAATATTTGATATATTCATGATGATTGTATATTTATGTCCTCTTGCCATTCCAAAGTTCTTGCACCAGGTCTTCATGTTCACAGGGGGCAGGGTGCTTAGTCTTGAGGCTTAGAGTTCAAGTGACTAGGTCAAGGTCACACAGGTAGAAAATGGAAGTGCTAGGGCCCAGCATCTAGTCTTCTAGCCCCAAGGCCAGGGCTTCTATGTATCCGGTGTCACTGGAGGAGCAGAAACTCTTGCTAAAGGGTCATTGCTTCGGGGATTTAGTGATAAGGGGCTAAGTTGGGAAAAGATCCCGGAAAACAAGGCCCTCACTTACCCTCGGGACCCTGTTCTTCAACGAAACTACTTCCTAGAATTGAAATGAGCATATACGCATGTCAATTAAAATTAAGTTGCCATTTCAACCACTTCAGTTGAATTATCCCTCATCATTTAAAAACGCTGATAGGAAGCATTTTTCAACGCAGAGATGTGGGCGACCATTTTGAGCAGTGTTCTCATGTTATGAGTCCACTGAGCATTATAATTTTTGTGTCTGGGGGGGGAACCCTTTGTCCCCACCGCTTCCCCCACTTTAAATGAATTAAATGGGAGGATTTTTAGAGATAATTTGGTGAAGAAGGAATTCAAATACTGGCAAATGATATTAAAGAACACTGTGATTAGGATCGAGCAGATTAAAACTGTGTTTATATGGCACCAAACATCTGGATGAAAATGGAAAAAATTAGTAAAAACCTTTGATGTTTTGTTTACTTGACACCATACATATGGATCTTTAAAAACATCTGGGTTTTTCTCCCAGGTTTTATCTGGGGAGATAGGTAAAGAAAGGTAAAAAAACAAAACAAAACAGAAAAAAACCCGTTTCATACCATTATTACTGAGTTAGATTAAAATGACTGTATTTAATTAATCTACAAATATTAACTAATGATTCCATAGAACATAATATTTAATGAAGAAAAATTTCCACCAGGCAAATAAATACGGAAAGCTATAATTAGGTGATTTTAGAATAAAACTAGGCTTCAAGCGTATTTAAATCTTGGTCATAGTTGACTGACAGTAATTTCCTGGGGCGAAAAATCTTTCTGGTTCTAAGACAGTACTATTCTCTCCTGGGGAGTCATTTTTCCATGGGTTGGGAGGATACGTTAATTTATAATGTGTTTTGACAATAGTAAAATTTCGTAAACACTTAGTAACATGGGAGATACATCTAATAATAGACGTTTGCTTTACCAAGTGAATTATGCAGTTTGATAAAATCAGTGTAAACCCACTTGCTAAGCAGCCTACTGAAATGCCCAAGGCTGAACCCCGAAAAGGAAATCGGCCGAGGCAGGACTTCAAAGACTTTGTTGCAATGAAAAGCACCTTATGTGACTGACAATTTTCTTTTGTAATCTCATCTAAAAAAAGTTATCATAATTATTGAACATTTCCTCTGTAGCTTATTCTCAGTCCCATCAGTTATAATGAAAATAGTCTGCTAGCTTTTTCTATTCTCAAGTTTTCGAAATGATTAGCGCTTCCTTGAGATATTCCATTAATTGGACATACAACCCAGATGAAAAGCCTGAAACTCAAGAGTCTATAAAAAAACATAAGGTTGTTGCAATTTAAGTGCCTTCAAAAGATCTAATTTGGTTTTTAAAAGCAATTCTGCAGATGTGAAAATTAAAGGCAGGCAGAAACAAGATACGGTTTAATGAATCTGCAGGTTAAGAAATATTTAGAGGTTTCCTGACCTTATTCCAAATTTTAAAAAAAATATTTAGCTGTTAGGTTGGAAACACTGGGCTCACCACACAATCAAACTTGCCGAATTTTAGGGGTTGCTATTTCCGTACCCAATAAGACCCGATGTACTTCTGAAGCAACTTGATAATTCTGCCTGTGGCTTTCCAATCCCAGTCCTTGTTACAATCAGATTTTAAATTGGAATAAAGGAGAAGAGTCTCTCTCCTTGGTTTGTCTTAGCTCACCCTCTGCCACCATGAGCAAATTGTACACTTACTCCCACTTAAAAAAAAAAAAGAAAGAAAAAACCCTTTCTACTAGTTCTAATGACATCTTCAGTCATTAATGAGTTAATAAAAATCTCAAAGTCATCTGGGGCTAGATAAGGAGGAAGAAAGGCCAGCATTGTGCTGTAATGACACTCCCTGGCTGCCCTC